GTCAGTTCACCTCTGCTCTGCCCTCCGGATGCTGTGGGACTGTGCAGAGGGGAATTCCCTGAGCCGACCCCACAGAGCTGATCCCAAAAAGCCGATCCTACAGAGCCGACCCCATAGAGCTGATCCCAAAAAGCTGATCCCACAGAGCCGACCCCAAAAAGCCGATCCTACAGAGCCGACCCCATAGAGCTGATCCCAAAAAGCCGATCCCACAGAGCCGATCCCACAGAGCCGATCCCAGTCCCAGGGGAATCCCTGCACCCAGTCCCAGTCCCAGCCCACAGGGATGGGATTTAAGGTTCCTTTCAACCCGAACTGTTCCGTAATTCTGTGATTCCATCCCACAGAACTTTGATTTTCTGGGGAATATGGAATAAATCTCTCCCAGCGGCCCCTTCCCAGCACAGGGAACTCCCAATTCCATCAAATTTAGGGATGGCCCCAGCCCTGTCCCTGGTGATGGTTCCCTGAGCTTCAGCACAATCCCAGAACAATCCCAGTGAGATCCCTGCATGATCCCAGCACATCCCAGCACAATCCCAGTGCAATTCCAGCACATCCCAGTGCAATCCCAGCGCAATTCCAGCACAATCCAGCACCATCCCAGCACGATCCCAACACTATCCCAGCACCATCCCAGCAATCCCAGCACATCCCAGCACATCCCAGTGCAATTCCAGCACATCCCAGCACAATCCAGCACGATCCCAGCATGATCCTGGCACATCCCAGTGCAATTCCAGCACATCCCAGCACAATCCAGCACGATCCCAGCATGATCCCAGCACGATCCCAGCACAATCCCAGCACATCCCAGCACAATCCCAGCACATCCCAGCACATCCCAGCACAATCCCAGCACATCCCAGCACATCCCAGCACAATCCCAGCACATCCCAGCACGATCCTGGCACATCCCACTGCAATTCCAGCACGATCCCAGCACAATCCCAGCTCAATCTCAGCTCAATCCCAGCTCAATCCCAGCTCAATCCCAGCTCAATCCCAGCACGATCCCAGCTCAATCCCAGCACGATCCCAGCTCATCCCAGAACGATCCCAGCTCATCCCAGAACGATCCCAGCACATCCCAGAACGATCCCAGCACTTCCCAGAGCCTTTTTTCGGGATCAGGGTCTGAGGGATCTCGGGAACAAAGCTCCATTTGATTCCTATCCCGAGGGATGGGGGCACGGGGGCTGCTCAGCTGTGCCAGGCTGGGGCATCTCCCCATGGGAGCGGTGCCAGGCCTATCCCAGCTCTGCCAGGCTGGGTTTTCATGGAATGTGAGGCTCTCCCCAAAGCCTGGCCTGTCCCTTGGGTCAGATCCTGCCATCGGGATTTTCCTCACTTCCAAGGAAAAGATGGTGGCAGCTGAATCCCGGAGCGTCCAAACCCCTCCTGGGATCAAACCAAGGAAACCTCGCCAAGGATCCAACTCTTCATCCTTTTGATGAGCATTCCGTGTTTAAGGTGTGGATTTTATGGATGAATTCTGTGGTTCTGTGGGATCCTGGCAGGGGTGGGGGCATCTGGCCTGTCTGTCCATCCCTGGGGGTGCTGGCCCCATCCCGAGGGGCACCAGAACATCCTGAATCCATGGGAATCCAAGGGACACCTCCTGAATGCATGGGAACACCTCCTGAATCCATGAACACCTCCTGAATCCACGGGAACACCTCCTGAATCCATGGGACACTCCTGAATCCATGAAACACCTCCTGAATCCATGGGACACCTCCTGAATCCACGGGAACACCTCCTGAACACATGGGACACTTCCCAGATCCACGGGAACACCTCCTGAATCCATGGGACACTCCTGAATCCATGAACACCTCCTGAATCCATGGGGACACATCTTGAATCCATGGGAACACCTTCTGGATCCATGGGACACCTCCTGGATCCATGGGAACACCTCCTGGATCCATGGGAGCACCTCCTGGATCCATAGGAACACCTCCTGAACACATGGGACACTTCCCAGATCCACAGGACACCTCCTGAATCCATGGGACTCCAGCACCTCCCCTACACGGGGTTTTCCCACAGTTCCCCTCCAAAGCAGACCCACAGGGTCAATCCTGACACCGGAACCCATCCCACATCCCAGGAAACCCCCAGATCCAGGCAGGGCCCAGCACAGCCCCTGYCCCACCCCGGAGATGCTTTCTGAGCCAATAAAGCCTCTCCTCTCCTCAGATCTCYTCTCCTGTTTAATTTTCCTCGCACGTGCGGAGCCTGGAACCATCTCCAGAGCGACCCCGCTGCCAGCAGATAGCTCAGCCCGTGCCCAGTGCCAAAACACGGAGCCAAATCCCGTTCCCAGGGGCAACTGGGAGGCTCCTGCCTCGGGTGCCCATGAACTCTCTGCTTTCCATTTAGAAATCCATGATTTAGACACATCTGCGATGGCAAAAACACAGATAAAGCCAGGAAGAGTCTGAGGAGCCCAGCCCTGCTCCATGGATCTGTCAGAAAATCCAGAYTGGGAGAAGCTTTGGGCCAGGAAARYRCAGCTGAACCCCACRGCAGRACCAAACCTTATTTCAGGGCTAAAGCCTGGATTTGCACTGGGTTTTTATTCCACACAGGCTCAGGAGCTCACCAAACATCCCTCAGTGGGCACCAGGYGAGGTTTTCCCAGTCAGACTGGGAGGGGAATTAAGGAGCCTTAAATGAAACATTCAGCAAAGGTAAATAAATTGGAATAAATAGGAAAAAAAATAAATTAAGGGGAAAATCCATGACAGGGAGAGTGAAAAGGTGGAATTTGGGATCAACGAGGATCCAGCCTGAATTCTGGCAATTTGGGCACATCCCAGAGCCCAGGAGAGCCCAGRGCAGCCCTGGTAACTCATTCATGGTGGAATTGGGGATTGTGGGGTGAGGGATGGAGCACAACAGAAATATCCCTGTTCCTCAGCACCTGCCCCTCTCCCAGCTCCCTCCCTGCCCTGCGTTTGGTGGCCCAGCTGTGACCCGAGCATGTCAGAGTTTTTCTGGCYGGAATTCTTCAAAACAAACCCGTTTTTAAGTTTCCCCAGGCGTCGGCTCCTTTCCTCTCTTTGATTTATTTTCGGTTTCTTTAACGGCTCCAAAAAAAGGGGTGTGAGGAAGGAGCAGAGCAGATGAAACGCTGCCACCCCCTCCCGCGGGCAGCCACCAAATAAATCCCATCATTKCTGGCTTCCCGTCTGATCCCAAACCCCGGGATTGCCATCCACAAAGGGATTAAAACTCGGCCTTCGGGGTTAATGGGGCTGGGAGGGGGCTGGGGCTGCTCTTAATCTCTGCAGCGCCCTAGGAARGCTCGGAAAAACAGATTTAAATTGAAAAGATGCTTCTCTGGATTGTTTTTCTCTAGGATTTGCGTGGTTTCTGGCTGGTTTTCCTCTGATATATCTGGTTTTGGAGGAG